TATATATATTATACAGATCGTGAAATGAAAACTCTTGTTTGGTCCCGTATGATCGCGAATAAAGCAAGATAGAGCTTCGTAACCTTTATTAAACGAGGGTGGTTTCACGAAAAAGTCGTGTACCGAAATTCTCATGTTTCGCATAGCTCCTTTCTGTGTTTAAAAATACTATCTAATCCCGTATCGATACTTATTTCAACAAAAAGGAACGTAGTTTTTTTGGCTCTACGCAAGGCTCAGAGAAGCTCTGTTTTTTTACCTGAGCGTTTTTGCTCCTGTTCTTTAATCCTCCAGTGTTCTCACTATCATAACCTTCGTTACCTATGCAGCGACTACTGTCCAACACACTTCATAATGATGTCGGCCTTTTTCATTGACGTCCTAGCTTTCTCTCAGCCTTTGATGCTTATGCAGTGTTTTGGCGCGTGAGTCACATCTAACGGTACACATTACTGTCAGATGCGATACGCGAGTCAGTATTCGTGACCAGCAAGCACCTGTATCAGGTGGTAAGCCACTTGTACAAGGTCCAGTGCGTACCACTCTTTGATAATTAGGATCAACATCCTGATTTATTCAGTGATCTTAATTGCGTTTATCCACTCTTTTAGGTTTTCTGAGGTTTTCGTCTTAGTAAACGTCTTATTGTGATACACTTTTTCCTCTTAGGCCATGACGTTCTATAATATCGCCGTTCAGCGAGAGAGCACTTGCTGCGCTTGCCTTGTCTGGTCCTTAATTCTCTTTTAGGTTATTACTTTTTGTTTTGCAGATAAGTGCCGTGCAGAAAACTAAGCGATTCTCCACTAAAGCCAGTAGCTCTAGCCTACCCTACCCGATCGCCTTGCTCTCGGCATTAGCCTTCTTAGGCCCTTTTACTACGCTTTTTTCGCGTATGGATTTCCAAAGAAGTCCTAGCTAAATTCTATTAGTTATTGATCCTTCCCATTGAGACAGACAGCCTCTATGTGCGTTCTTCAGAGTCTCGTTTAGGGGTTCAGAATTTCACTTGTTTGAATGACATTTTTGAGCCTTGTACCAGCTATGCAGAAGCATATGTAAATGCAAATGGGTAATACTATGCCCAATTAATGGTAAGAGTTATTCCCAATCGTAGTTTTAAGTGGCACCTAACCATTGTTATTCCACAAGCAAAAAATAATTGAAAAAAATCGTAAGCTTCGTAGTGTGACTTTTCTATTTTGCCCATTAACCAACGTTGCTTTGGAAATACATCTCAGGTATCCTAAAAGTGTGTCATAGGAAACAATTTAGGCGATTCAGAATTTCGGCACATACCAGCAATGGATTTTTTATATGTTATATTCATAACCATGTTGTAGTAACAAAACTTATATAAATTAATATATATAGGTATATAGTATAATTGTAATAAAATTATAGTGCTACCCAAATAAATACTACTAAAATCCGTAGTTTAAAAGCATCGCATAGTTTTCAAGGCTTGGTTATTTAGGTTAATTTTATCCTCTTTCCACTATTATGATGGTTATCTTGTGCATATTCATTTCAGTAATTATTGCCATATCAAAAATACTGACTGACAGCTATTTAAAGGAAAGGACGCGAAATATAACGTTGGCTATATGATTTCATAATGCGGTCAGCAATGGTCCCAACCCGTACTTTGCTACTTTAATATCCATAGCGTTCATGCTGATGGCTGTGTTGAGCTGTTTCGAAAAAGACATGACCTTCGAAGTACTTCGAAAGCGTGCTCGCTGGCACTGCCGGAGTTATTCGTGTGAATTCGAGCTCGAAGCCTGTAGTCTTTGGTTACATAATCCACCTAAGGTCATCAGCATTTGAATTGTCCCTGGGCTGTGCTTTTCGAAATTGTATAGCTCGAATGAACTTGATCAAAATATATAAAGACAAGAATTCTATAAAAATATGTTTTAGTAAATAAATATGCTAATCCTTTTAGACTGTCTAACCTCGGTCTGCAAAAACTTGAAGGCATTACGTGTGTTTCATTATGTCGATAGGTCGTATGCTCAATCCCAATATTTCAAAGGCCGTCATGTTCAAGATCGCTTAAAATACTTGACATCACCAATACACCGTACTAATAACGAAGACGAAGAGTACTCGAGTCATACGACCTACTACTTTCTTAGGCCACTGAAATATTATCAGATAAATCTACCAATCTTATACTTGCAATTTCTAATTAAAAAGTGGTGCTGTCCATGAACGCGAGCGTTTTCTGCTAAGTTTCTTAAGAATAACAGGTAATTTTTATATGGCTCCGTTCTTTGAAATCTACATGGCAAACAGGCGGTTAAGATGAACTTGTAGTGAACACTCTAGAGCTAAAAATAGTTATACCTCTTTTTTAGTAAGTTTCGCTCAGCAGTATGGCCACCGCGAGAAGGAAAAGCGAATAGAGTACAGAATGTACGAGTTCATGAGAGCCGCAGATAAAAGGAGTGCTTTTATGATTTTTTTTTTGCCTGGCTGTTGAAACTTAGATTATATAGTTTGTCTGGGTTATATAGCATGTAGCATCAGCAGTCAACGGATCGATCGAATAACCCATATGTATATATATATATATAATACATGAAAGTCACTTTACCTTTAAAGGTAACCTATATTTTGAAGTTGAAATAATTGTCCTCCACTTTTCCTAAGCGTCACACACGGATTTGATCCACAGCAGCTTCCAGCTGAAGCTGTTTCCAACAGTCACTCCGCGAAATACTGTGCATTATTTATCCGGAATGCTTAAATACTTCAAAGCGTTTCCTTGTCTTTTACCAACGTTCATGTACGTCCTGGAAGAAATTCGAGCCCTTTTTTTATGGCCCTTGTCCTTTCCCTTGTTCTTTACGTCCATTTTTCGAACAATAGAGATCGACCGCAGTATAAACGGTGACTTTAATGATAGTTCCCATAATCCTATTGGACAGCAATCAAAATTTACCATTATTGCAGTTAACACCGGTTTTTTTACTGTTATTGTAGTAGAAAAACTTGACGATCGTCAAGCATATTGTTAGATTTGGATATCAAATAGTAAAACTAATAAATAATAATAATAATACCGCCATGAAACAGCACAGAAATATGGAAACTTAAAAGTTAGCCAAAAAAAGTAAATGACCATCAGAATCGCTTTAGTTCTATCTATTTAGCCAAAGGCGAGTCACTACATGTTCAATTAGCAAACATGGTTTAACGATGACAGCACTTTTTCCTATTAATCCAAGTCTGAAAGGATTCGCGCGATTTTTTTTATTAGTTACGTAGTAGTAACAGTTGCTTTCTAATCGCTTAAACAAATACACAGTATTATTCGTACATCAGAAAAGAAACTCATATTTGCCCGGGATGTGCATCGGAGATGGAAAAAAACGTTTTTACATCAATTTTAACACAAGAAGGAGCGATTAAAGGTTGGACAATCCTTTGAAAAATTGAGACAAATCATAGCCCAGGTTGTGCTCTATCGAATGAAAATATTCGGGTCTATGCAGGTCGGCGTGGATGATGAGCTATCCAAAACAGAAGTTCGTAAAATGGGTCATCGACCACTGACCGCCTTCTTCGTTAGTGAAAAAGCTCGTGTGGCGTCCAGGAATTGAAAACGGACTACCACTGAAGGCTAGAAGAAGACTTTGACAGGGGGCGTTAGGCTTTGTAAAAATTAACAGCACTCGAAACAGCACTCAATATGAAATTACACTTTGGCTGACCCAGTGCTATATTTCTAGCGCTATAAATCTGCGTTGCCCTGGTATGTTTTCCATAGCGAATTATGAAAAATTAGGCTAGCCATTCTCTGCTAAGGCCCGTATCCAGTAGCTCTGCAAAACGATTTCAGTAGTCTCAAATATTCATATAATTGGTCAAAAGAACGCAGCCCAAACCTGCGTCAGATATCATCCATAGCACGTACGTGCTTTCGTTTAGGGAGAAATCAATAATTCTTACTCTGAGTTCGTTAGAGCTGAACTAAACACAAAATATAGTTGCTATACGCTCAATTGAAATCAGAATGAACTTTTGTTTCAGTCATGATAATAAAGGCCAGTTAAGGTAATGATTTCCTAAAGTTCGTTTAGCTTTGTTCTTCGAGATATGTAGAGTTTCGTTAAAGTGAAAAAAGAAAAAAGAAATAGCATTTAGTATCGAAAACTCCCAAAGAAATTATTTACTAATGTCTCTAATAGATCAGCTTATTTTTGGAACGATGTACGCAATGATGTTTGAATATTAGAAGCGACGAATGTATATATATTATGTATGAATATTTCACGTACAGCTTTGTTTGCAATTTACTTAGCCGAACATATAATGTTTATAGAAAACGCTCGTGGCTCCCTAGATGAATTTACATATATAAGCTAGCGCTAACCTTCGCAATGGTAGATCGCTAAAGAGATATCTGCAAGTCCAATACCCTATATTGCTTCGTGTAAGTTGATTTTTCCCTCACCTCTCATCTTCTGAATAG